AGCACACTTTCTTCTGGCCTGATTTCAGAAAATCTTAGAAAGGGATCTGTCCCAGTGCTGTTGTTACTTTGGGGTATTAATTTGGGCTGGTCTGTGTCGTGTTGTGAGGGGTCAGTGCAGAAGAAAAAGCGGGCAATGGGTCTTAGGTGGAAAATCCAAGGGTCCTTTATTATTCTTGCTGCAGTAACAAGAACATTCTTGAATACAGCCAAACACAAAGACCTCTAACAAGGAGCAATCCCAATTTATATACACTAACATGGAACATTCTAGAAACATTCTAACCAATCATAACAGGCCACATAATCTATATTAAGGTAGTGCCTCCCATGATCACATTCAAACAAACTTTAACTCTCCCAAACTTGAAACAGTGTCCCCAAATTTAGGGTGTAGCTTTCCATGGCCTTGAGTTGATTCTGGCTATGACTGGCTTGCTGATATGTACCTTTGCAGATATGTACCTTTGCAGATATGTACCTATACATCAGCACATCCACCTCTGCTAGGGGACTCATCCTCATCCCAGCAGGATTTGGTCCCCCTGAGCAGGAGCAGCAGCTTGTAGCAGCACATTTACTATTTCAATAAGGACAAAACCCAGCTTCTTTCTCACCACAAAGCAAATTCTCTGCAGGAATCTCTGGGGTTGTTTATGTCAGGGACTGACATGGTGCTGAATCTCCAAGCCACAGCCTGCTCCTGCTGTAGAACTACAGCCCTCTGGTGGCACCAAATCACTTATTTTGTCAAAAGCTGCATATATAACAGGGAAAAACTCACCTTTGGGCTCTGACCAGCTCTGACTCGGTGCTGCCTGGAGGGGTAAGAATATCTCTGGGGGAAGAGTCCAAGAAGCAGGGACGTGACCCACCACATAGAAACTTCTAAAGAAAATGCAGTGACTGAATGCAAAGGTACTTAAGAAGTGGGAGATTGTTTGCCTCACAGGACTAGGAGAGACCTTAGAAATCATTGTCCTGAAAAAATTACTTGCCCTGGGAAGAGGCCAGTAAGGACCCCTCAATAGTGTTCTGATCATCAGCAATAAACTCTTCTCTCTGCTAAAGGAGGATGAAACAAGCATCCCTTACACCTGGATAGAGTTTGTTTAGCTTGATCTTTAAAGTGCTTAAATGACTGAGATCTTGTAAGATTTTACTCCCTGTGCTTCATTAGGGGAACGATTAGCCTACTTGTCTTATATCTCATTCATAGCTTATATTGCACAATTTAAGTCATTATTCCTTGACCTATTTGCTGTGGAAAAGGAAAAAACACATAAGACTTTTTTTTTTTTTTTTCAGTGTGCTGATCTCTTTGAATATATGTTCTTTGATTCTTCCTTAAAGCTAATCAGCACAAATTAATTTCATCTTTCTGATCAATCATATTCACAAAAATGTTCTGCTTTGAATGTCTTCACAGCAGTTTTTTTCAGATAGGTAATGTTATGTATTTTGACATGTCTATTGAGCATCAGTTTTCAAAATGAAGAATAACCTCAATTTCCATCTATGAGATCTCAGCATGAAACACTTGTGCCACATTTCATTATCACACCTTCTCTGAAGTTTTGTTCTGGAGTACAGGAACAGGAAACCCTTGGCTATAGCATCAGGATCTGAATAAAGCCAAATAACTTGAAAAGACATTGCAAGGGTGAACTGAGTGCCTCAGCTGGACTGTTCCAGTAGTGTGATTGTTTTGCAGCAGCAGTTGTACCAACAAGCTGTCATATTATTACTGAGAAAACACTCAGCTTGGAGGATTAATTTGAAAACTCTCAGCCCACTGCCTTGGGGGAATCTATTTGCCTTTTACCCTGTCTTAACCTACCAGTGTAGAAAAGGTTTTTGCCACGAGAAAAGAAACAGAGCTGGATAGAGTACAGGAGCTCCAAGGTTGACCCACAGCAATGGGCAGCAAAATGTGGCCCACCACGGCTGGGACTGGACTAGTTCTTATCAGAAAGATAAACTTCCTTTGGATTGCGACATTTTTAATGAATTTTATGCATTTTGATTTAGTTTGAGAAACTTGGGTTGACTTAGCCAAGCAGTAAGGAGCACAAGCAGGTTTTTGGCACTGCCAAAATATACTCATGTTGTGCATAAGGGACACAGCTAAGTTAGATTGCAAAGTGGTTTTTAGCAATACAAGCAATTAAAGAAGACACAAGCCATCCTCTTGTACCACAGATTTATTGAGCTGTGTAAGTAAACACCCATTCTGGGTTGATGGTGATAGATCATACAGGGCATTTAAACTGCAAAGAACCAGCCTTCAGAATTCTTTTCATTGGAAAAAGTCACACATAATCTAGGTAGGGATAAAGAGAGAAAATGAAAATTGTTTCTGTATGCTCCTTCTTGTTTATACTGCAGGTGTTAGGATGAAAAGCTTTCTTTATGTATGTTCTTCAATACACACTCATTGATTTAAATCTAAAAATACTTCAAGCATTTTGTTAGGCAATTCTTTGAGGTGTATACAGATATTCTTTCAGTCTTTGAGCCATCTCTAAATAGGAAACAGTAGACAAGATCTCTGTGTAATTTACCTTCGTGGTCCATTAGATGAGCCAAATAATTCAGTGCATAACAGAAGCAGATTGATTTTTCTGAAGTGTTTTTGATTATTTAGTTGTGAAAAGAGTAACAGCTGCAGTTTATTCCAAACTGGTTCTCCTTTTAGGTTATCTTATTCTGATTTGCTGCATTTGTGTTCAGTTTTGGGCTTCTTGCTACAAGAAGGACATGGAGGTGCTAGAATGTCTGCAGCAGAAGTCTGATGAAGAGGGGCAGGGGAAGCTGGGTGTGTTTAGCCTGGAGAAAAGGTGGCCTGGGGAAAACTTTATCTCTCTCTACAACAATGTGAAGGAGGTTGTAGTGAGGTAGGGTTTGTCTTTTCTCCCAAGTAACAAGTGACAGGATGAGAGGAAATGGCCTTAAGTTGTGCTAGGGGAGGGTTAGATTGGATATTAGGAAAAAATTTTTGCCAGAAGGATTATCAAGCATTGGAACAGATTCCTCAGGGAAGTGATGGAATCACCATACCTGGAAATGTTCAGAGACTTGTGGCTGTGACAGCTGGGGACATGGTTTAGTGGTGAACATGGCAGTAGTGGTTCTTAGAAGCCTGTTCCAGACTTAACAATTCTGGATTGTTAACAATTTCTATGATTTACATGTTCACAAGCTGGCTGGAGGCCAGGGTCCAGACTCCTTAAGTCACCTCCATCTCAAAAAATCACTAACACAGAGCCTGAGCCATGTAAGCTTGCCTTGGCCCTGAAAGCTGTGTCTATAGCAAGTCAGCAATGGAAAGTGCCCAAGGTGAGGTCTTGGAATCAGGGATCTCACCTTAGAGACATGCATGTGATAGCAAAGCACTGCTATACCAAACCCAGATTTTCCTGATAGAAGGCGTGGGATAAATTTCAATAATAAAAACAGGGACTGCAAGGGTTCCCTGCAGACAGAATACTCCATTTAGGGACATGGTGAGTCACTGAAAGGCCTGTCCTTTTACTACCTAAGGACTTAAGGTCAGCATGGAGTCAGTGCTTCTTCCAGCCACTGAGAGAGAGATGGAATACTACTTACATGGGCTATTATTTTACTGAAAGGCTGTCTAAAGCCATGAAAATTCTTGCCGTGAAAATACACCGCCCACAATCCAGCAGAATCTACTTTCTGATCTCTTCTGAAAGATTAACTTTGTTAAAAGCTCAGCTTCATTGTTGGGGTAAGCAGGCTGCTCCTGCCAAAGAGCTGCAAATGCCAATATGTTTGTGCAGCATGGAGACCAGTGGTTTCATGTTCAGTGTTTCATAAAGATCCCAGACATTTCTGAAAGATCTATCTCTGTTCTGCTATTTATATACTTTGGAAGCAGACTATGGAGCTGCACAGTCTCTGTACACAGCCTAATTTAATTTTTCTGAGAAATCATGGCACTTCCAAATAATCTGAAGCAGAATAAGAAATATGTAGGAAATGTCTAATGAACTTTTCCCCTTTTTGATTCAGATTTAGTAGCAGAGAGCCCAAACTTTCTTGTTGAAGTTGAACTTTTTGAGTCAGCTGAGCACCAGCTGCTTTCTTCACCTCTGTACGTGCCAGCAGTGCCTTGAGATCTGTTGAGCTTCAAAATACATGAGATTTAAGTATTAATTTAAGATATGACCATTAAGAAGTGAAATGGACTTTAATATTAATTATTAACAGAAATATCAAATTTGGAGTGGCTTGTTGTTGGGCTTTGTGTCTGGGCAAGTAAATCAGGGAAGAACATGTCCAAGAAATAGGATTTTTCAAAATCAAAGACAGGAAAAATACTAGAGGAGATGCAACGAGAGGAAATTAAAACCTCTTAGGGAATGGCAGCACACAAGACTCCATTACAGTGGAAGTAAAGGAAGAATGGTGGCAAGTCCACCAAGTCATGAGGTGACATGGCTTTTGACTATACCCAAAGTAAGAAGCTTCCCAAAGAGGTTTTGTTAAGCCAGGGGTTTTAGTACCAGTGCTCCTTGGGTGCTTCTCATGCCAGGTAGACTCAACCTGCAGAAAAGGCTGACATGAAGTCTGAAGTGAGAACCAAATGCCCAAATTTTGGCCATGGAGCTGGAGTCATATTAATTTTTCTATACTATCCCATCATTTTAAATGATCGCAAAACTGTCAAATAACAAAAAATCAAGGGCTGCCATCCACTCACACCAAAATCCTGTCTCAGCAGAAGGCCTCTGTGCACAGCCCTGGGGACACCCCCATGGGACAAAGCTCTCCCCCCAGCACAGCCATGAAAGGCTTTGAGCTCAGCCTCCAAAACTGCAAAGCAGTTGTTTTGTTTTCCATGGATAATGCTTTAATCCACCGGGTGAAAGCTGGACGTTGCTCTCTTTTATCCTGGCTGTACACAATTGCAGTGCTCGAAAAGAAAAGCCCCTGGCCCTTCTGTGCCCGCCGCTCCTCCGAACTGCTGACGCCTGGATGGGCAGCCCCAAGGCGGGGCCATTGGCATTTATTTAGTTCACTGCCGCAGATGATGCCTTTAGTGCCACAAACCACCCTGGAGATAAGTCCTAATCGTCTGGGGGGGCGGTGATTATGTTCAGTTCTTCTTCCCCAAGCCCCCCAGACATAATTCAGATCCAAACTGGAGAGACAGGCAGGCACACAAGAGGGGACCCCGGCACTGCACAGCCCCTCTGAAGCCATGTACAGGAGCAGCTTCCTGCGCGAGGTGCGCAAGGAGAAGTACGAGCGGTCGGACGCCTACGATGAGCTGCGAGGCTCCCCGGAATTCGACAGCTTGGCCCAGGCCCGGGGCTTGGAGAACCTGCAGGAGCTCAACGAGCGCTTCGCCAGCTACATCAACCGGGCGCGCGTGCTGGAGCAGCGCAACGCCATCCTGCGCAAGCAGCTGGAGACCTTCCAGCGCATGGATGAGCTGGTGGGCTTGGACGAGGCCTTCGCTGGGCAGATCGAGTTCAACCGGCAGCGGATGCGGGAGCTGGCTTCGGACCGAGCCAAGCTGGAGCGGGAGGAGAAGGATGCCCAGCGCATGCTCGATGAGTACCGCAACAAGTAAGGCTTGTAGGCCGTGGAAGATGGGTGGTGGCATTGCCATGGTTAATCTCTGTGGTAAGGATGGGTTTGGTGTCACCAGCTGATGCCTCTCCGTGTGTGTCAGACTTGTCAAGAGGGCGGCACGTAAGCTCATGGTGACAAGGAAGGTATCAGGACTTAGGGAGATGCAGCTCTGCCTTTTATGGTGTCACTGCTCCTAGATGGCAAAATGCCCTCTCTGTTCCACAGCAGCAGCCCTGGCTGCTGTTGTTCATTCAGCTTAGGAGAAATGAGCTCTGAGCTGCAAAGAGGAAATAACCCTATGATGTTGCCCTGATTCTTGAGTTTTCTAAAGCCTTCTGAGTTTATATTCTATTGGGAAACTTTCCCACACAGTTTCTGTAAATAACGTGTTGTTTTGCATTCCTTCGTGGGGGTAGAGAGACTTGATGTACTAGTGCTTTATCCAATGTCTTTGGAGAGGTGGCCCATTCACTCTCCAATCTACTGTCACCTTTGGAAAAGTATAAAAGTTGGAGTCAGAAAATAAACTTTCTCTTTTACCTTGCAAAGTAGCAAGTGGCTCGCGTTGTGCATTCTCGTGTCCTATGGCGACACTATTTGACTATCAGGTGTCTCAAAGCACCTGGTGCTCTGTGTCTGAGCAGCCCAGAGTTACACAATACCAACATCTCCTGAAATGTGCAGGATGTCACTGAGAAACTCTTATTTACAGCCACTATGAAGCACCTGGGCCAGTCTATGCCAACCACATCTGTGATGTGACATGAAAAGAAAGGAGATACATATTTTTCCTGGTGTGTAAAATTTGCCCTCCTCTTCTGACTTGCATCTTGTATTCCATATCATGCCAGTAAAACAATAAGCATAGGCTTCCCCTAATTTCACCTCTTTAACCTCTGTGTGACCATAAATCAAAGAGCAGGAGCCTCACAGGCTGGTGGAGATGAGTGCCTTCCCTCCAGCAACAGGGAATTTTGGCCACATGGCTTAATTACACAAGAGTTGGTGAGAATTGCTCATAGGACAAAAGAGTTGAATCCCCCTGTTACTTGTTGGTCAGGGATTTTTTACTCCCAAAATGTCTATCAGGCACTGAGGCACTGATTGCTGCCAGTGGTCAGATGTCCACAGTGTCCTGACTCAGTGCCAGTGGGTAATAAGTACCTGATTAGGCAGAATTGTATTCCAATATTTATGAGGAAATTCAGCTAAGAGTCAATGCTGTAATTTAGCTGGTACTTGCTCATGTGTTTTTATTGCACAGTGCCCATGAGTATTTGACTGCAATCAGTACTTAATTTTCTAACTGCATGTTAGTTAAAAATCTGTGTGAATAGTACAAGATAAGTAATGTGACACAAAGTAATTTGCTTTTGTTAGAGCTGCTTTAAGCAAACTGGAAATAGGCAGGGAATAATACAGGGCATTGAAAATCCAGAGGAGGAGACAACACCCAGAAAAAGGACGGGTGCTTTCAGAAAGTAAGATTTAAGACCTGCTAAAGGGGTAGTTAGTGGTTTCCTAGAAAAAAAGGGGTGGTACTTCGTTGTGCAATCCTGGGATGCCACTCAGCAGCTGTAAACAAAAGTAAGAAGGAAACTGACTAAATCAAAGCCAAAAATTGCAATTAAAAATTAAAAATACGCAGGGCCATGACAAAGGAAGGACAGTGGCTGCTTTTGAACCAGATTGCACCAATTGATTTACAGCAACAAGTGCATTTATCTGGGATGGTTTTGAGTTGCAGGTTTTAAAACGATGCCTCTGGTCTGGTAACATGGTCTCTGCCATCTGATGGCTCTGATTTCAGTCCCTGAAAGTTATAAACAAAGCTCCCTAAACAAAATATGATATGGGAGGAATAATCTTCTGTGCCCTATTAGGGGCTGCTGAAACCAGAAACATTTCTGTGCTGAAGACCTGCTCTGCTCTCCTCCCTGAGTCTGAATTCCACTGGCAAAAGGCGCTGCAGGTTTCTTGCTGCATCTTGAACTGTAAAGCTTTTGGTGCACTGGGATTAAAAAAATCACTCAGAGGGGAGCATTCTGAATTAATTAATTGACAGATGTCTGTGTCCTTCACTAAGTCAAAGAATTTTGACTCTTACAACCCATTCTTTCATTCACCTTCACTACTGGGGAGATATTTATATCTAAGTAAACCTTTTAAGCCACATTATATAAATAGGCCTTTTAAAGTTGCATTTAGACAGAGTAGGGCCTAAAACTACTGTGTCTGTGTAATTAAATGTTCATGAAACATTAAAAAGTGGAACTTAGATTAAAATCTATTTTTAAATCCTCTATGGCCACATTCATAGCTTTCCTCATTAACAAGACTTTGTACGAGGGGAGAATTCTTTCTATTGAAGTTGAAAAAAAAAAAAAAGCTGGGAATAGTCTGGATACATCTCATAAAAAGACTAATTATGCTGCCTTTATGCTGACCACCACTATTATAGCAACATTGCATCTGGCTGTGGGATAGGATGGTATTTCTCTCATCATGATATTGAGAAAAATGCTGGAATCCAGATTTTAGTGACCTTGACCAAACAGGATTAATGGACTTCAGAAATTAAAAGTCTTGTTAATCAATTGCTTAATTTAAAAATTTGTGCACTGCTAATATAAAAGTGAATTTTGAACATGCAATATGATTCCCTGGACGCAGTATTGGCACAGTGTTCTCCAAGATGTGCTGTGTGGTGATACTCTGATGAGCTAGCACCCTTTGGGGCCGCAGTGGAGACCCAACACGTGAGAAAATGAAAAGAAATTTAAAAATACAATAGCTAGGATATGGAGACTCCCCTAGAAGGCAAAGCTGCCTTCCAGCCCTGTCTGCAGGGATTTTCTTGGCACTGCTGCTGCTTCTCTAGTGATAGTAAAGACTTTATCCTGCTGCAGCTGAGATGAGGAGCATTTTCCTGCCCTCCACACTCTCCACAATCTGCCAGAATTTTGCCCTGTGCCTGTCAGCTGCTCAGCAGTGGCTTCTTGATGACACAGGTAGAATCTGTTCATAAATCAGCACAGCACAACCCTCTTGGGCTCAGCTGAGCATTCAGGGTATGACCCTGGATGACAACTATTACTGGGCTGTCCATCATCCTTACAGGACCTCTCTTTCATAGTCTGTGCTGTCCTTGGCACCCAGATTGCTGTCTGTTGAGAGAAGATTGGTGAAGTGCACCAGGGAAAGAGAAAATGACAAGGGTAGTAGCCAAGAGGTGCAGGAGTTCAGTAGGATTCATTTTTCTTCAAATGAAAGGCTCAGGTTTGACACCAAATTGAGTATCTGGCCATTGTGCACTCCTGGGGTAGATTGCTGCTGTTTCCTCTTTGGAGGGGAGCGAGTCCTTGCACTGCAGCAGAGGCAAGGTCCAAAAAAAAGAGGTGATTGAAATATTTAATCCTCTGATCTGCTTTCTTTGAGTCTGGCAGCTCCCTCCCCTCCATTCTATTCCCCTATGCAAAAAAAAGCCCAGTTAACATCCCTTTTCTTTCAACAGTCCAAAAACATTTGTAGCTGACTCAAAGCTACCTGACTAGGTGAGAAGGTTCGTGTTTTCGTTTTTTGGGTTTTTTTTTTTGGTTTTGTTTTGTTTTGTTTTGTTTTTAAAATGAAGCAAATTAACTTCATGGCTCTTAATCTCCAGGAATGTCTGATCAGCAACTACCTAATAAAAAAATTTTTGGAAATGACTAGCTAATTACTAAACACCAAAATCAACTTTGAAGCATAACAGTGTTGTGACTTGCCAGCCATTGCACTTACAGATACATTTCAGCAGGCACAGAGGCATCCTGAGGTCTCTGAAGCATTTCAAAGAGGTCCATAGCATTTTTGCACTGGTCTTGTGGAAAAAATTGAACATCACTTGAAAGAAATTCTCCTTCAAAGGACAATCATGCAATACTAATTCTCTCAAGCTGCCAGGTGGATTTATGGCTCTGTGGCACAGCACATATTTAGGTTATTTGAGAGTGAAGGAAAATGTAGCTGAATATTTTAGTAAGTGAAAAATCTTTTGAGTCAGGATCTAGCAATGAGGGAGATCTGAATTACATTAAGGCTGAGGTTTAGACACTGAATCTATCAGATGGTTGTATATTACTGTGAGTGGAAAACCAGCCTTTTATTGTAATTGTATATTTGATTTTCACAATATGCCACAATTTGCTTCATTCTTGCTCGGCTGTCAGAAAGTATCAAAGTTAGGAAAGTGTTTACTGTCAAGTGCATATACAAAAAATATTTTAAATAGATAAAAAACTGGCTGGAGTTGAGCTACTTGGTAAACACCTGAAACAAAGGCAGTCTCACTTCTGAAGCTGAAAAATATTCTAGCCTTGGAAGTGAAAGTGGTTTTAGTACTAATTGGCAAAAAAGGATATAGTTTTAGTTTTATCAGCAATTTGTTGGAGTAATAATTAAATAAAACCTCATCATTTTCACCTGGTTCTTTGCTGTTTGTGTAAGAATTGAAAATGGACCATTGACCAACCCTGATAATATTATGGCATTTCAGAAAAATTTGTTAATTTTAACCAGGGCACCATGTTAAATCCATTTCCTTGTTCTACCAAGTTCTTCCTTTGTGGTCCTGGTCAGTTTGTGAGTGACATCATCCACTCAGCTTTCCAGTATGTGTTGGAAAAGTTGATTATAACGTTGGTTGTTCATCCTTCAGGGGACAAAAAGGAAGAACTGAGGTTGACAGGATCATTATAACTTGATCCTTGATGTGTTCAGTCCAGGAACTGTCCAGTTCCCTGTTGACTGGAGCAAATCCCTTTGATATCAACAGCACATCTGGGCTGGATCAATGATTTCAGGAGACAGACAGGGACTTATGTTCAGTTCTGAATTTTGACTTGTATTGGTGTCCATTGCTTTTACTGCAAATGAAGGATCCTTTTCACCAGAGCTGACTTGTCACCTACCAGAGTGTTTCTTGCAGAAAGTAAGATAATGATAGCTTTTTTATATCTGTCTACATCTATTATGTTAAGGGCAGTAAAGTGTTAAACTTTAAGGGTTAAGACTGTATTTCTGCTGCTGTTGGAGTTTGATAAGTCACTTGTTCAGTACTGATGGCAAAGTCTCATTGCCAAAGTTGCTTCTGGCTGGTGGATTTTCAGGGGCTTTCTTGTTTCTTTGTTTGTTTTTTAATGGAGTCTTATTAAGCCAAATCTACTGTTAAACATTTCATACAAGGTTTCCTTAAGGAAGGGAATAAATTACAATAATCAACAATTAAATTTTGTGCTCTGTGGCTAAAAGGATTTTCTAGAAGATAATTCTATTTACATGCAACTGTGGAGCCCTGATGCTTAAAGAATATATGCTGTTTCCTCCAAACCAGACATAAACACATTATACATCCATCTTGGCATCAGGAGCATGCACTTCGTGCACGTGTAGATGTTTTATAAAAGCATAAAAATTGTTGGTTAAATGCAGTTCTTACTAAGGATCACTTGTTCTGACCAAGCTAATATACAAATTACCATTAAAGGGGACACAAAGCTTAATCCATCTCAGCATCCTAATCCAATGTCTTTCCTACACAGTCAATATGTAAAATTGCAATCTTTGTGTTTAATGTGTCTGTCATTAAAATGTTTATTGAACAACAGCAGGTATAGCAGAAAACCAAGAACAATGTAATTAAATGTTCGTGTGTCATTGTAGCAAATCCTCACAGAATAATCACTGCTGAATAGCTGTCACTGTAGTCCAATAACAATGGAATATGCTTTTATTGTAGATAATCTATTCTTGGGCATTCTGTAAAAAAGTGATAGCAAATATATGGCATTTCATTGTATTCTGTTACATAAGCTGAAGACAAGAATTTAGGCAATTCTGAAATTACTCTCAGCATCTGCAACCAAAAAATAATTAATGATAATCCATGAGTAAATCTTTTGGGCCCTTTCAAGATTCATATTCTCCTTTAGCATGAAGCATATCTTGTGCATGACAGTGCAGATAAGAATGCAGTTTGCAGAGGTATTAACTACTGAACTTTTTCTCATTTTTTCTACTTGCAGGTATAGAAATGAACGTGAATATCAGCAGAAGCTAAAAGAAACCCTGGAGCGCCTTAACAAAGTAAGTCTGGAAAATGCCAGGGGAAAGGTGTACAGTTTTTTTCCTTTGGTTTCATTTACTACAGCCAGCAGTGGGAAGATAAAATGTCAGAGCAAGGCATTTCTTGTCATTATGCCCTTCTCCATCATCCCCCTCCCTGTCCAAGTGTCTGAGCCTTAGCATGTGCATACGTTTCCCTGTGCTTTTTAAACACAGATACTGTATTAAAATAGGGTCACTAGTGATAACCATGTCATAAAAAATTGCTGATTAAGTCCATGTTTTGAAGCCTGGAGTGTCTCAAAGCTCCTTAGTCCCTTGCAGGATACGGTCAGCCCTTCCCAGGACAGACCCTCAGCTTCCCATTAGGTTTCCAAAAAGAAAAGAAGCCACAGCTCCCCCTTGTTTGTTCCTTTTATATCAAGATACACATTCTTAAACTAACACCAAGCAATAATAAAAATAACAACAATTTAATATAATATAAAGCTCAGAGAAAGATAAAAGTTGGCTGAAGTATTTCGGAAGTTTCCAAACCAGGTCTGTGAAACTGAAAAATCCTGATTCATCGTCTCTTGCTGCTAGCCTTCATTTGGGTGAAGAACATAGGGTTATATCTTTCCTCAGTTCTCCTTTGCCCATGCTATCATTCATCTTATGTATTGGAAAACAATTGAAGATGGATTAAGTAGAGATTATTTTTTTGTCTCCTTGTTAAAATGGCTGGACCAGATCTGCTGGAGCATTGTCATATCAATGACACACATGTTTTATATTAAGAAAAGACAGAAAGTGCATTTTAGCATTTCTATCTCCAGTGAGCTCTTGACATCCTGCATCAGTTGTTTTCCAGAACACTCTGCTCTTGAACATCCTGCAAACCCTTACAAAAATTAGGGAAGTTAACTCTTTTGTAAGGGGTTGTTGGAGCTGGTAAGTCTGTCTTCGCAGTTCCTCTCAACGAATTTGCAGCTAAAGAAAAGTGAATTGATTCACCAACCCTAGGCACAGCTCACAAAATCTTGAGGCACAAGGGTGTTTCTTATCCTAGGATGTCCCTGGATGTCCCTTTTGCAGCAGCTCCTTGCACTGGGAGCACCAAGTGCAGGAGAGAATACAGCTGGTTTTCTGTGCGGGGCCCAAGGTGTGGCCTGAAAACCTGCATGTCCAGGTGCAAACTCATTCTTTATCTGACAGCTGGGAAAACACTGGTTCTGGAGAGATCTAAATTTCTCTTCCACAGTAATGAAAATATTGCTTCAACACATGGACCAGTGTTCTGGAATCGTAACATAAAGCAGAATGGCTTTTCAGAAGTTGAGTGATTAGCAAATACTGCAAAGTTAAAAAGAAAATGTGTAGACACTGTACTGTGCTGATACACAACTCCACCGAGGAAGCTTTGAAAGCATGGAATAAAAGCAGAATTATTTTTCCCCTTTGAGGGAACATTTGGAAAGCCAAAAACTGCTTTTGTTTATTGCACGCAGAAATATTTGCTTATAGGAATTATCTAAGGGCCTGGGGGATTTTTTTTGGCTCCCTCCCAAACCTCCCAACGTGGCCATTGTCCTGTTGATCTTCCCCTCAATAGGACAGGAGAGGAGTGCAGAAAAGCAGTGTGGGCATTCCTGATTTCTGGCTCTGAATGTGCTGGGCTGGATGTGTCTGAATCAGCCCCTGGCTCACAAAGCAGAGCCTGCTGGAGAGTTGTGTGCCTGGGAGGCTTAGCAGCACAATGAGACAGCCAACATCTACACATTTTTGGAACAGCGCGTGCTGTATGCACGCAAAAGGCAAAAATCCTCTTCTACCAGTCATGTGCTGCACCCACAGATCTCCGGGGTTGGTTTGCAACCCGTGATCCACTCACAGAGGTATTTTTACAGCTGGTCATGGCACATGGATAATTGGAAAGAGATTCCTTCAAATACTTCTTTTTTTTTTTATTCTTTGACTTAAATGCAGAAAGCAGGACTTCCTTGAGGCAAATTGCAAACTGGTGGAGGAACTGGCAAGTTTTATAGATTTGCAAGGAAGATTCAGTTAAAGTTTTTAAAATGCTTCCTCAAAAGTTATATTTTACACTCATAGTTAATGCCAAACCTAAAAAAGAAATAATGCATTAAATACAAAAATAAAACATATCACTGCTCTCACATATTTGTAAAATATATTGCCAGGTTTCATGGAAATTACCCTGAATTCCATGGTTTTTGTTAAATAATGTAACATAGGAAAAATCTAAATTAGGCCTTCGAACAGAAATGGAGATTTCATTAGATTTAAAGACCAATGCCACTCATACCTGTGTACTCTGAGATCATGGTTGCTAGTCATATGGTTTGTTCTTTGAACTGACTGGATGTTAGGAACTTTTGTCTTTGCACAACCCAAAGTATTATCAAATTGTGCAGCAAGGTGATTTTTTCTAAACTTGGTCAACTGTCATTTTTATTTCCAGAAATGGCTCCAAACTGACAAACATTTGTGGCATTTGAGAACACACCAAAGAGAGTGCAAATGCTGTGGACCATCCTGGGTTTTTAGAAGGACTTCTTTACTAGGGATCTTAAAACAGCATCAGGATACCTCAGATCTTGTTTTGACATTAGAGAAATCAATGCCTTAGTCTGCTGATGTCATTTGTTTAAGACTCATCCACCATTTCAAGACTTTAACATCAAAATCTCATATTTCAAATGTCTGCTACTCAGCTTCCAGCATTATTTTGACAGTGCCAAACTCTTGTAAACTACATTTGTGCAGGGCACGGTGAAGGACGTGGCTCCTGTTTGCTGGTTTCATGATGCTGGTGTATGTTCCAATCATCTCTTACACTCCAGGCAGGCTGTTCCAGGTGCACAGTGCCTCATGCAGTGCCTGTGGGATGCTGTGGGTTTGGCACTCCAGCCACACGTCCCACCATGTCATCCCACCCTGTGTCTGCATTGCAGGAAGCTGATGAAGCCTTGCTGTGCAACCTGGAGCTGCAGATCGAGTCCCAGTTCCTGCAGGATGACATCAATGCTACAAAGGACAGATACAAGAAGGTAACTGGCTGAAATTGCTGCTTTCCATACAGAGATAGATGTGGAACTTTGCCCTTCTCCGTGATCAAACAGTGACAAATTAAAGCAAATTTCATTTGTGTTTTGGTGGGTGCATATAGCATTATTTATTTTCAGTGGGCACAACAGCTCGATGGTTTCCAGCCCCAAACACACTTCTCAGGGTCCAGTCACTACAGTTGTAGCAGAGTCTTGAATTTGTCAACCTGGTGTCATGGTTAAACCCAAAATGCTGATCAAGCTGTCTTGTATTTCATGCCAAGGAAGCTGTTGCTTTCATCCAATTTTTTGGGAGAGGGCACTCCAGTTAATCAGTTGACATATACCTGTGGATGTATGATTCCACTGCAGCTGACTTTAACACTTGTTTTCTTCCTGGGAGAACTGTGGGTCTTGGGATCAGGCCACTGTCCAATCTTTGCTGCTTTTGAAAAAAGTGACTCGTTTTTTTGGGGCCACATGCAAAGGTATTTGTGATTCTTATTTTGAAAATCTCCTATGAAATTGGAAATCATGGAATCTTCAGTTAAGACTATGAACTGTATAGTCCTTAGCCAAAAGTCTGTGATATACCTCAGTATGACGAAACTGCACTCAAAAGCAGTTATAAAATCGTATTCCAAACCCAAGCCTGAACATGAATTAGACTTTCACGGGCTAAAAGCATTACATATCTGGAAATAAGCCCCAGGAGTACATGGAAATGTCTACTTTGCTATGGCATTTTCTAATGAATATGTTTTTACCTTATCACAGAACCTCATGGAAATCCAGACCTATGTCAATGTCTTGCAGCAGATCATCCAGACAACTCCTCGTGTGTCCCCAATAACCACTGGCATATGTGAGGCAAGTATTGCTGTTGGGAAGTGCAGCACCTCTAAGTAAGAAAGAGAGATAATGTTTACAACTAAAGTGTCCCAGATCCTTTAACTTCTGCTCCAAGGTTAGGTGAAAATTGTTAAAACAATGTGTAAGTACTGAATAATGAATATCAGAGAAAAATATTACTGTAGCTTTGAAAAACTCTATCAATGAGGAAAGAGAGATTAGCTTTGTCAGGTGCACTCCAGCACATATATTAGTCCCAAAAATGTGTGATCCAAAGGTATTTGAAGTCGTTGTGTTTCTTCTCTGAAGAGGAGCTGGCAGGACATATGAATATTTGAAGACAAAAGAAATCTTATCCGGAAGGGGCGAAATGTGGTGAAAATTTAAATGAAATTCATTGATACAGACTAGATGAAAACTTGGTGATTTCCACCAATATGAGTGGCTATGGCAGGAATGTTCATTATTTGGAAGATGTGAACAGGTTTACATGGTCTAAGCTGTACTGTTACAGATCTGCCATCTGATATCTTTATTCTTAAAGCCGTGTCACCATTCAACAGAATTTGGCTTGAGGTTCAGTACTCATCTTTTATCTGTCTTTTGCCATTTTCTATTTGTCTTTACAGTTTATTTCCGGTAGTGCAGTTTCTTTTGGCTCTTTCTAGGAGTAAAACATAATTTCCTGTACACACATTGTTTTCTTCCAACCAGGAAAAAGTGATTGCAGAGAGGAGGATCCCAGTTCTGCAGAGCCAGCTGGAGGAATACAAGAGCATCTTCTGCCAGCTACAGGCACAGAAATACAAGCTGCAGACAGAGGTATTGGAATCACTAGCCATAAACACAACCATGTTGCTCATGAACTGCTTTTTTATGGTCACTTGGTAAAACCTCTAACATGGCTTTAACATGGTCATGCTAACTTGGTGGACTTGGAGGTGTTTCACTTTTAGATTTCCATATTTTTCTTCAGCTATTTCATTCCCATTCTCTCAATGGAACAATTTGTCAGGTTTAGATGGCAGGGTGGGCTGTAGGTATTGTAGGTGCAATGAAGCTGTTTTTGCTTATCAGAGTGGCTGATGAGGGAAGATTTCCACTGTGCAACTGGATTCCTGCAGGACAGAATCAGCAGGACATTGTGAATGGAAAAGTATCACAGGGCTTCTATGACTTTCTTACTTGCTGAGCTCTGGCTGGAAATTTGCTCCATGAAAACTGATGGGGAGCCCTCAGGGCTCTGTCCAATCCTTTCTATCACTGCCACATCCAATGCTGAGCTAGCTGTGGGAAGAACTGGACAGGTTTGGGGGAAAAACTGAGAGGGCTGTTGAGCTACATTTGGCTTTCTGCCTTCATCCATGTCACTACTAAGCACTAAGCCAGCATCTCTCCTGTGCTTGGACACTACCAGCAGGACAAACCATACACTTTTTGCCAAGCCCTGATTTGCAGAAAATATCTGGCCATGACTTTGACTAGTTGTCCTTGCCCATCTCCCAGCCAAACCTGCCCTAAATCAACCTTCTGTCTCCAGCCAGTGCATTTAAACCTGAGTGCAGTGCAGGGCCAAGGGTGGCAGGAGGTGCAGGAGCAGCTGAAGGCTATAGAGTGAAATAGAATTTCACTCTACCTCCATGCAGTTGAATATTTTTTAGCCAGTGGTGTGGAGAATGATCCCAAGCACAGCATCCTTTGTGCCTCGAGCTGTCCATCCAGGTGAGAGGAATGAAATATTGACAAAAACATCTTTTGGTGGGATTTTGGACTCCTTTGGAGAGCCATAGCAGCAGCTCATACCTTCCCAAGCATAACTTCTTTCATTAGGGTCAGAACAGTGTATTTTCCTTGGTCTCTTTCTCACGTCTGATGCTCTGGTGGAAAGGACACATGCTCTGGGATGGACAGGAATCAATATGGAGATGAAATAGTGAATCAATATAGAAAAAAAGGGGAGGAAATCAACCTTCTGCTGGCAGATGGAGAGAGGCAGTCTTTGGGGAATTAATCGTGCTGCTTTCAAAATCAAATCTTCCCATCCCCTTTAGAAATAGATTATTCATTCATTCATTCTTGTGCTTTGAGATTAGAAGAGTGAAATAGCTTTATGAGTGGAAAAGTCAGTAACACAGTTGCTTGTGATGGTGAAGGCTGGATCTGATGACTGAGGTGTCATCAAGTTTCTTTGCTTTCCTGTTTCTGGACCTGACAGCCATGTGCCTGAGAGGTCATGGATCCCACCCCATGAGCACCGAACAGAAAACAGACTCGGTCTACTCGTACACTACAACATAACCAAACTAATGACATGGGATATCAATTCTATATTTAGGCATTCAAAAGTCCTTTTTTAATATTGCCTGAAGCATATAGAAACAAATCAGTTATTTAAGAATTCATTAGTCACTGATTGCCCCATTAACTTTTTGTGAGTTCATCTCTTTGAAAAGTAGGGGGAAAAAATGTGACAAAATAACTATAATAAATAGCTAAAAATAGCAGAAGAAAGTGAGAGCAGATCTACAGGGTGAACTATCCCACCTGAAACTCAACCTTTATTTTTGGAAGGTGACTTTTGCCACCTCCTGGTTGATATGCTCATTGGTTTTATCGCTGAAGAAAAAGGCTGAGGAATTGAATTCAAAAGGAGAGTTCTTTGTTTAAAATGTGATTTTTGGTCTTATTTGCCCTGTCTGCAGACCACAGAGAAGGAGGAGTGGGTATTTCTTGAGCTCATCTTCCCACTTAAGAACTTTTACTGTTCTTGTAAGGCCCTGCCCACTCTGATAAGTTTCTGTTTTTTGAATAACTGAACAAAGGTCATGAAATTGCTCCTGTGTTTCAGCAGTGCAGCATCACATTGTAATAAAGCATGACTTGCCTTTCATTGTGCTTAAAATCTGGGGTGGTGAATTTTCCAAAGCTGCTTCTTTCACCGCCGATTTTATTTACCAGACAACCATGCTGGAGCAAGCAATTAAAAACACCCAGGAGAGTTATGACGATGAAATTCAGCTTTACAATGAGCAGATTGAAAACCTTAGGAAGGGGATAGAGGAGGCTGAGAGGATCTTGGAGAAGTACACCACTGACTGCCGCCAGCTGGTGATCTACCAGCAATCCCTGGAGAACGAGCTGGAGCGGTACAAACGGATCATCGAGAATGAGGACAGCCGGTAAGGCTGGATTTCTGGGCACTCAAAGGGACCAGTGATCTTCTCTTTTATCTCCTTTGAAAAATGTATGTTTGAGGGCATTTGATTCACCCAAAGCTATAGTATTTTCGTGCTTTTTACTGGTAGATATCTAGAGATAGAAATTTAAATAGATGCAAAATCTGGTCAAAGTTCTGCCAAGGAAAAAGTCAGAGCCATTTTGGGCTTTCCTGTCCATGCAGTCTCCTTTCCTTATGCTGTCCTGGCATCAGTGTACAGAGGTCAGGAGCACACAAAAGCAATCTGAACATCCTCTCCTCAGACTGGGTGTTGGTGACACTTTCTTGACTCTGTCAGCAGGTTGATTTTATGGAGGGTGCAGACAAAGCAAATGCCCTGCAAAGCAAAGCATTCTTCACAGCAAAGCCGTTCCTCAGGCATGTGGAGAAAGAGAAAAAATACAAGAAATTGGCAGGGATTTGGGTTGTGCTTAAACCTACAGAGGAGCACTGTCTCCCTCTAATGTCAACCATCAGCCACAGTGGAGAAAAGCATCTTTCACAGCAGCAGAGCCAGACCCCTGAGCACCCAAACTACTACTCTAGGCTGTCCAGAAGATGCAGGGGAAGAACACTCACTAAATAGCCCATCCTATGTGTGGGGAATGGGAATTTAATTAATTTTCAGGGTCATATTTTGGACACTGAGGTCTAGTTAGAAGTATCTTAACAGAGTAATTCTCAATGCTGAAAATCACATCGACACAGGGTCTCTGACAAGTAAAACTATCTCAAATTCCAGCAGAGCAGACTGGGGAGGCCAAAGATACAGTAACTGTTTTGCAATAGGCATGCCTCTCAATTTTAATTTTTAACCCTTAATACTACTGACTCCTCAAATGTTTTACAAGGAAGGCTGCTCCAAATTTCCTATTTTGCCAGCCAGCATGGTAAAAATGGATTTACAGTTCTTGCTGACCTCTGGTAGGCTTGGATTGAGTGTTTGCACATCTAAAAACTTCCCATCTTTTCAAAGTGCCATGCTAAATGCAAAGCTGTTGCTGCATGTTGTAGTTAATTACTCATGCACTTTACCTGCTGGAGTATCCCATATCTCCTGCTGGCAGAAACCAGCCTCAGTCCTGTGAAGGTGCTGTGGCTGTCTTGATTTTCCCCAGACAAGAAACAGGTTCCCACCACTCTTTTTGACTCCTCACCACAGAGAAGTACATTTCTTTGTGCTTAATTTTGCACTTAATTTGACTTGCTTTCACTGAAATGATGGGGAGAGAACTGATGGATGCACATATTCCCCACAGGTTAAACTCTGCTATAGCAGGAACCCCAGTCACACTCTTCACACAGATTTACCGACCTGCCCAGCCTCAGGCTTCAAGGGGAAGAGGTAAACCTGTGATGTGTCTTTCTGTGTCTGTCAGGAGAAGCACCATTGTATTTTAAGCTCTTTGTCCATGTGTCTTTAATATGGCCAGTTGTGACAGCCTGACTACAGGTTTGTAAATGCAACCATTTCAGCTTACCTCAGCTGGCCTTGAGACAAGCTGTCGAAGGCCAAAACCATAAGCAAAAGCATTTCTTTGCTAAGTTCTACACTTTACTACTTAGGCCAATCAAGAGCAAAATCAAAAAGGCACTTGAAGTGGTGGAAAGAGCTGCAGGTTTTGTGTTGACTCATTCTGAGTTTGTTGGCACTTTAGTCATGTGCAAAAAGCACTGCTGAGTGCCATAGGCCATTTTTGAGGCCTGTTTTCCTATGAATGATGTTGTCTCTAAGTTGTATATTAGCTTGTTGGAATTAAGATGCTTGTAAACCTGCTGACAAGGAAATGGCCAGGGCTAAACGAGCGAGACTGCTTTAACAAAGGAGTTGATGTGATAGATTCTAACATATGGAATGACGTAAATTCAAGGCTCACTGGAGTTTTAATAATGACAAACTGCCTTGAGAACAGAGACAAACCACGTATGAGGGATGTTTTTGGCATGCAGCTGTGATTTTTCTAATTGCTGTATGAACTGTAGCAGTTTTACATTAAATGGCCTGAGGCATTTATATAATGCCTGAGGCCAGATCCTCAGCAGCTGTAAATAACTACTGTCATGCAAAGTGGTGTTTTATACATTTGCCTGTCTCTAGACACACCACTGATTTCTCCTACAGGATTAGCATGGTATTTCATGAGTGTTACTGTACTGTGGCAGGGGACAAAACAGTTGCCTTGGAGAAAATGTGTTAATATTTGTATGTCCCCATGTTCTTGTAATCGCCAGTACCAACCCCTGTCTCCTCTGCTCTAGCTGCTCATGCCACAGAAATCAGTACCTTGCCTATGCTCCTGCTGCTGCTAAGCTGTTGTGGGATCTGTGGCTACTGATTGCCCAGGAGATCAGAATCAGGGGGTTCTAGGAGCTCAGTGGCAGTGTCTGAGTGATGCCATTGTGGCTCCTCAGCTCCGTGACCACCAGTCACTGCTACCCCCTCCTGACATGACTCTCAGCATCTGTCCATACTCTAGATTTTCAGGAGTGGAGGTGCCTGGCTTGCTTTTAACCCTCCCTGGGATAAAAAGGCTCTCCACATGAAGTAGTGAGGGCAAGAGGCAGCTCTAACATTTGCACTGTTTTTTGTTCTCTTTGTTTTGATTTTTCTTTAGATATCACCCAGGCCATGCAAGACATTGCCAGTGTAAAGCCCAGGCAAAAAGGCCTGACAAAGAAAATTGCCAGAAAAAAGGAGCTGATGTCAAAAGACATAACCGACAGTCACTCGCCTGAAAGAATGTACGAAAGAACTCTGGAAGGTTTTGACCAAGATCAGATGGAGTTTAGGCATGAAGGCTCAGTCAGGTGTGAACCTGAGCAAGAAGGATCAGAATTTGATGAAAAAGAAATGGGCCCAGAAGATGTACCTGATGGAGCCCAAATAAGTAAAGCCTTTGATAAATTGTGTAATATCGTGAAGGAGAAAATAAGAGTCCACAAGAGACCAGAGGCTAAGTCTGATGCCCATCCCAAAGGGCGTTATGTGCTGGTGACAGGGGAGGAAGGCCATGAAGAACCATGCATCTTGGCCCCCTCTATCCCTGCTAGGGCAGGGATCACAGTTTCCACTGGCAATGGGAAGGTGATGAATGGTGGTGACGTGGAGCCCATACCAGAGCTGCCAGAACCTGCCGAACCACCCGAAAAAGAGAAAGGGGAAATCTGTGAAAGGAGAGAAGAGTTTGAACTCCCAGATAAACAGAGAGAGGAGGGAAAAGAAGATGTGCTTGAATGGGGGAAAAGAGCAAGAGGAAAAATTGAGCAAATCACAAAGTACCCGGATATCTCTGAGCCTGAGACAGTTCCTTCCCCTGGTCTGATAAGCCCAACTGAGCCAGGACTCCTTCGGGAGACAGAATATGAGCGAGAAGATAAGCAGGGCCTTTTGTTCAGGGAAGCAGCCTTACCTGGCTCTATGAGCTATGAGAAGGTGGAGGTGGTGGAGTCCATTGAGAAGTTTTCAGATGACAGAATTCAGACGTATGAAGAGACAGCAATGATTGTTGAGACAATGATAGAGAAGACAAGCAAGAAGAAACCAGGTGACAAAGGCACTTAAGTGGCACATACCCTCTGATAGTCGACTTGTCTGGCATAGTTATTAAATGACTGTGTTTTTTTCCTGACCGAATGATACAGTAGTGAGATTTTTGCTGTTTGGTATGGCACAGATTGAAACCTTGATGGCAATTCTGTCTGATGTAGGCTCACCTTTGGTGCAACAACCATTAGTGCTCTCCAGGGCACATCCTATGCAACTGATTTTCATGATTAAGACACATGGGAAAAAATTATTATGACAGAGCTGCCTGGCTTTCCACAGTATCTGGGACAAATTTGCATATTCCTCTACTGCTCCTTTAACTGCTGTACAACCCCCCCCCACCTTTGAGACAGCTGCAAATGTTAACTTGTGACATCTGGTTCATTTAATAAAAGTTTTGCCTTCTACCGAAGATACACACTGTGGGTTTATTTTTGCCTATAACATTGACTCACACACCCTACTTGTAAACATCACCTGACTGGTGTGCAGGAGTTTTTCCAGGGAAAGGGCTGGATACCTCTTAAATAACCTGTTCCAAGGTTCTCCCTTTCAGAGACTTTAAATAGCAATGAGCTTGGCAGACCTTTTTTTTTTTTAAATAAAGACAAACTTCCTGTATTCAAGATAAGCTCTTACTGCAGATCATCACAGAATGAAATTATCTGAAGGGAGATCTCCCTTAAAAAAAGCTACTATTTGTCCTTCACCAGCACAACTAATGTACTTATGAATGCCAACAAGCTTTTGAGCAGACTGCAGCCAAAGACTAAATATTAAAGTATTTTCTTTTTAAGTATTTCCTTGGACTGTAGAGTTCCATACTGCCACAGAATCCTGTTGCACTCCTGTCACCTGCAGTCACATGGAGCTCCACAGGATTGTTGGAAAAAGCAGTACCTTTCCACCTCCCCATGCCTGGGGAAGGAAATAGCAATGCTTGCAGCAACAACAGACTCTTGCAGCTCCCAGAAACCATCAGATCAAGAAAACAAACAAACAAAAAAAAAACCACAAAGAAAAAATCAGGGAAAGGAAATATTTTGCTTGTATGTGTGTAAATAATGGGCTCTACTTAAAAGTGCTCATACTTTAGTCCTCAAACTTGACTCCAGGCACACAAATGATCCCACTTAAACCCAAGACTTACTGAAGGGCAGTACTAGATTAGTCTCTACACATTTCTTCTTCAATCTGATGCCAGTTCTCTAAGTTTTCATTTCAGCTTCCTTCATTGTTGTGCCTTTTCTTTCTGCCTGTTAACTCCTGTCAGCTGCAGCAAAGCAAGGCTAAAAGCCATTTGAGCTGACAAGCCTGAGCTTCAGGAACTCCTCACAGCATCCAAGACTTTTCTTCACTAATATGTTTGGTTTGGTTATTTCATTCATGAGGTCCAGCACAGGTGTAGCATCAAATCTACTGTGATTGTTATGTCTGGTAAAGGGACAGGTGACCCTCCCAGTCACAATTTTAGTCAGGGCTTTTTGTCAATGCTGGCTTATTGGAATGCTGTGGGAGTTTATTCCAGACATGGCTTACTCGAGCGTGTTGCTTTTCAGTTTAATATATTAACAGTGTAAATAACTACAGATAAGGAATTTATCAATGTATATGCAGGCTGGGCTCTGGTGATCTGGGAGCAACTGCCCAGAATAATTGCAGCTGAAAGGGTTTGACTGCTGCAAGGTAAACAAAAAACAAAAACAAAAACAAAAAACAAACAAACAAACAAACAAAACCAGCCCTCATTGAAGCAATAGGCAGGCTGTTTAATAATTCTGTCACAAAGCAGAATATAAACAGGTTCAGGCAGTACCTAGAGGGAACTGGGTATTCTTCCCCCTCTCCCAGCCCATCTGATTTCACTGCAATACCCAATGTTCAGAATACAAAAAGTCTCATTCAGTGGCAAGGAGGCAATGTCAGGACAGCCTGGGTGAGGTGTCCATTGTGTGAATACCTCCACAACCTTAATCTTTTTTGTGCTGCGGTGTCACCACTGGCTGCTGACCCAGATCTGATTTATGATGCCCTTGTTCAGCATCTCAGTGTGATGTAAGAACTGCCCCTAAAGCTGGTTTGATGGCACTCACTGCTGAAGGAAATCACATTGCCTGGGCAGCAACCAGCAGAAGTCAAGGACTAAGGAGAGCTGAGGGCTAAATTCTGCTACAGTCTGTAAAATTTCTGTATATTTGCATGAAAGTTATATAGAAAACCACTAGCAGCATCTGGTTAATAGTGACCATGCTGAAGTGTATAGTAAATCTCATAATTTTAGGGGCTAACCTCTACATTGAATGCAGATTATCAATGAAGTGAGAATCTAAATGCTAAAGTTTAATGATGAAATGTTTGCAAGCATCTATTAACAAGAGACTGGAATGAGACTCAGGTTTCTACAGGCAGATTTTCACTTCTGAGGCAACCAGAACTGGCACTGTCTCCATTCCTGAATATCCTCCTGCCAATGCAGCTCAGCACCTGCACTGCTGCTGCCTTTGCAGAGCTGGCCCTGGAGCCAATGGGTTTGAACCATGAAAATAATGCCACAAAAATTAAAACAGCTCCTCCCAGCCTGTGGTGTGACTCTTGCATGTGACAGTTTCACAGTTAACAAAAAGCACTTTATTTGTAATCTGCTGCTGTCAACTCTTTATCTTCTCCATAGCCAGTATATGCAGGATACAGATTTCTTTAGCAGTGTAAAAAGCAGAGAAGTAGGAAGTCATCACACTGAGAGCAGCATTTTACCTCCTGTGTACCTTCAGATAAGCAATGATGATAGGACCTGCCAGTTTATAACAGCTCTTTATTTTACTGATATTATAAAACATCATCACAGGGCTCACCTGTTTTGCATCATGAGCTTAATTTTTCCTTTTATTATAAATACTAACAAATTAACTTTCTTTTGCATCAGCAATACCATAAAAACTCAGTCTAACTGGACATATTTTTTGGTGATCCCCTGAAGCAAAAATCCCCAATAATTTGAAGTATATCTCTATATTGTATATAAATGTAGTTTTGTATATATAATTGTATCAAAATTCATCATTTCAGTATATCACTCTTTACTGTGATATTTCAATTACTAAATTATGTCAGCATTATGAAAATACGGACATTCATCTAGTTATTTTGCTGCTTTATAAGATATTTAATAATTGAACAGACAACTGCAAAATTACATGAATGCAATGGAAAGTCATGTACATGTTCATTTAAGAATTCCACATGGACTTTTGTTATTCTGAAACTTTTCCAAATTTTAGAAGTCCGGTAAAAACTTTCAGTAACCTCTTTCTTTGATCACATACACACAAAAAGTTATGATGTATGTGTGTTATACCTTACATACCATATGTAATCCTAGATGTATTTATATGCAAATATATGTAACATACATTGAATATATATTGTATGTTTTATATATATATATATATATATAAAACACACAGAGAGTGATACCACGGGTGTGTATGTATTTAGTCATACAGGTGTGTGCATAAATATATATATATATGGTAAATTTTTCTGATGGGACTGCTGCACACAATGAGAAATCTGTGAGTAGTGTGAGGCTGCTTGGCCTGGCTTTAGAGTGTAATTTACACAGACTCTCAGTAGGTTGAGCTGTTTATTTTTCATTTGGAAAAGGAAAAAACAGGCTTCTTATGGAAAAATAAAAGATGGATAGTCTCTTGAATTAACATTATTCTCATACATTCTTAAGTGAAACATGTCCACCACAGAACCTTTGGGTTACGTTTTTAATTTGTTAGATAAATATTTACTTACTGAATGTGTTTCTACTGCTATGCACCGGATCAACCAGGACAACTCTTATTAAAACATCTTAGATTCATACTCTGCATATTAAAAATACATAATAAAATCCTAAAACTAGTCACTGCTAAAATGCAGATCTTGGATCCTGCAAAGATCTGAAATACCTGCTTAAAATTACTATTTAAGTAGGTCCACTGATGGGCTTTAGTGCAAGTGCCTAAATATTTGCAGAATATTTCTCAAAGGTTAAATTTGGGATCTCACACCTGAGAACATGTAGGGGTTGCTTCCATCAGCAATTCCCACCAGGGAGAATGTTATGTTTTGCAGCAATAGCCAGAGCATACTCTTGAGGGCAAGAGAAATGGACTTTAACTCATGTCCAAAAAGTCAAGGTGAGACTGACTTTAAACAGAAAAAACAATGACTGCCAACAAATCTTCCCAAATATACTACATTTTATTTCTCAAGAAGGCCAACATTGCATTACACTTTAATAACTTCAGCATATTTTTCTCCTTAAATATATTTGTATAACATAATACCAGCAAATATATAGCTTTAAAAAAAAATTAAATTAAAAATTGCTTTGGGACTGAAACTGTGTGCTTCAAATTTTCCCCACAGCAGTTTACTGGCAGCTGGGTTGCAAACCCCAGAAAACAGGTGTCTGTGGTTCGTGATGCTGGCACAGCCTCATTTTACAGTGCTGGAGAACATCTCAGTAGAGAGACCAGCAGATGCACACAAGCTGCCAGAATTCCTACAGCTCATCCCTATGTGCTTGTTCTGCTGTGAGATGGTAAATTGATTTAAATTGCCAAAATTACAAAACAAAAAAACAACAACACAGGAAAAGAATCCCCAAAACAACCAAACTAAAAAAAAACCTCCAGCAAAACTGGGACTTGTGCTTCTAGAAGGCCCTGACTTGGTTTTTAAATCACTTCTCCCTGCCACCCAGCTTTGGCATCGTTTTGCCTTCCTTATTGCATATCTGTTGATCCATCCTGTATCTGAAGTGTGTATGTAGTGTAACTGTAGTATGCAATAAAACTCTCAAAAGAATTGGATTTCTGCAAATCAGATTGGTGAATTTTCCTTATCTCTGGATTATTTCTTCTTGTGGGGTCTAGTGGTACTTTGGTTGAACCCAATGGAGGAAGTCCCACTGAAGTCAGTGATGCAGAAGGAGCATGTTCAAAGACCTCTCCAGACGACCTCTTTGTGATTCTCTCTCTTGCAGTCATTTTTTTAAATGTGCTCAATTATCACCAACTTCCAGTGTTAAAATTCACTCTTTTTTTAATACAAACATTTACCACAGAAATATGAAGGGAAAAGCCATTAACTTCTTTGCAGGTTATTACCTATTTGTATGACACAAAAGAAAAAAATCATCATTTACAGTCACAAACTGTACATAGTATTTGGTGGGAGTATATTTTGTGGTTTAGAGATAAAAAATGGACTGCTTCAGTGGCAATTAAAATAATTATTGACGAGATATAAGACTTTAAAATCAGGAAAGGGTGGTAATTTGTCTACAGAGACAATCATTGTAATACGTCTAACACAGAGGTTTGGATAGTAGAACGGTGAGTAGAGGGGTGTGGGGAAGGAAAGACACCATCATGCAACACAGCACTACTTCTTGCTC